GGCTTGCAGGAGTCCCCCAGAGCTTTCTCCCCTCTAGGTTCAACAGCTGCACTGTTTCTTTGCTTTTGTGTTTTTATTCCTTTTGTTGTTTCATTGTTTTTATTTAATCTTTCTCATCCTCCTTTTTTTTCCATTCCCTTGAATTTTATCCTATTTCTGTTTTTCCTCTTTTATTTTGTCTCTCATTTCTCCTCTTCTCCCCTGCCTTTTGATCTTTCTTTACTACTCTCTTTCTCTTTTCATCTTCCTTCTCCCTTTTTCTAAGAGTACATTTCTTTCTTACTTTTATATCCTCTTCTATAGCTCCACATTCCTGTCTCTTTTCTCTTTTTAGTTATTATATTCTTTTTTCTGGTCCCTGCCTATTTTAAATAATTTTTTCTATTTTATTGTTTTCTCTTTTCACTGTTGGTTGCTTGTTTATTCCGTTTTGCTTCCTGGTGTGTGTGTGAAGCAGGGGCTTGGGGATTGACGATTGGAGGGAGTTAGTTCTCCTCTTTCTCATCCAACAAGAGACAGCAACCATGTCCATACAGCCCAGCCATAACCATACCCTCTGTAGTTCCACCCACGGGGCAAGAGGTAATACCAGTTCCTCTACCATTTGACCAACAATAAAGTCACTAACACCAGCCAAACCTACCCTAAAGCGAGGTGCACTAATGGCGAACATTGCACATGCTTCCATTCTCTAACTACACCCACAGCAGACAGGTGGTGAGCGCCTAAGAACATATGAATATAAAGTAATCAATAAAAAATAAATAAAACAACCCCACAATGCACTGTAGACAACAGACAATTTTAGCTCACATGAAGAAACAAGAGAGAATGGCTCAAACAAATGACTAAGACGCAGAGCCAGAAAACATTTCTTAGGAAGAAAAGGTAATGCAATTAATTTTAAAATAATTCAAAAGAATGATATTTAGGTACCTTCAAAGAACTGACAGAAAGATGGAGGAAAGCAAAGAGAACACAGAAAAATACTTTAGAAAAATACAGGAAAACACTACTAGAACAAACAGACAAAATAAATGCAAAATCTGAAATACAAAACCTGCAGTTAGAAATTCAGATGATTAATACTAAGATTTCAGAAATGGACAATACATTGAAAGGGCAAAGGAATACATTTGAAGCAATGGAAGCCCAAATTAGTGAGCCTGAAGATAAATCTCTCCATATTAGTATGCCAGAAGAAGAATCAGAAAAAACAAACAACTTACAAAAAATGCTAAGGGATATTTTTGGGCTTAGAACTGACAATAGCAGAAACAACCTGAGATAACTATACATGGCATCACTACCCAGAGCTCAATCCAGATATAGAAGTATTTAAAGCGAAGCAACCCCACAAGACTGAAAATAAGGAACCAGAGATAACAATTTATATCAACTACAAAGCAAAAAGAGGGAATAGTGCAGACACAAGAACTTTCATATCGCAAGGAATTCAAGTAGGTTTCAAGAAAAAAAAGACTGTTTTAAACAAGGAAGAACTAATAATTACAAGGCAACGTCAAAGAAAATCAATACACCTGCATATCAAAATAAAAATAGGAAAATCAGAAAGATTTAGTAAAAATAGTTGTTGTTGTTAAGTACCGTGGAGTTGGTTCTGACTCATAGTGACCCTACACAACAGAAACGAAAATGAAGAGAAAATCCACACACAAAATAAGCTCAGTACAGAAAAACATACAGTTGTGAACTACATGCTACCTGGGGGAGGTAAAACGGGAATAAAACTCTTTGCAAGCCAGCCACACGGTGCTGTGTCTACTGGGTTGGGAGTCTGATTTTGAAAAATCGAATAAAGAAAACTTCACTCTGGCTTAAAAAAAAAAAAAAAAAAAGGTAAATAAAACAAAAAACACAGCTAAATGACAGCAATCAATTCACACCTATGGCTAATTACACTAAATGTAAAAGGATTACATGCACCAGTCAAGACACAGAGAAAGCAGAATGGATAAGACAAATCCTTCAATATGCTATTTACATGAGCTACATCACAAAGATGGAGACAGCCTAAATACCTATTAACAGCAGAATGGTTAAACAAACTTTGGTACAGACACACAGTGTAATGCTACACAATGCTGAAGAATGATGATGAATCGGCAAAACACCTCACAACATGAATGAACCTGGAGGGCATTATGCTGAGTAAACTTAGTCAATCACAAAAGGATAAATATTGTATTTAACTAACATTGCAAAAAGTTAAAAAAAAGAAAAAGGTTTTCTTAATAAAAATTGTAATCTTTTAAGAAAGTGAGGTAACACAGGAGGCACTCACTCATCTATGCCAAGAAATCTGGAAGACAATTATCTGGCCGACTGTTTGGAAGAGATACGTATTTGTGCCCATTCCAAAGATAGGTGACTCAACAGAATGTGGAAATCATCAGATAATCTCTTCGATATCCCATGCGAGTAAAGTTTTACTAAAGGTAATACAGAAACGGCTGCAAACATACATTGACAGAGGACTTCCAGAGATTCAAACAGGATTCAGAGGAGGATGTGGAACAAGGGATATCATTGCTGATGTCCGATGGATTTTGGCTGAAAGCAGACAATACCGGAAAGATGTTTACCTGTGCTTTATTGACTACGCAAAGGCTGATTGTGTGGCTCATGACAAGCTATGGACAACATTGTGACATATGAGTATTCCAGAACACTTAATTATGCTTGTGAGTAATCTGTACATGGACCAAGAGGCAGTTGTTCGAACAGTGAATGTTTTAAAATTAAGAAAGGTGTGCGACAAGGTTGTATTCTTTCACCATACTTATTTAACCTATATGCTGAGCAAATAATACGAGAAGCTGGGTTCTATGAAGAAAAAAAAACGTGGCATCAGGATTGGAGGAAGACTCATTAACAACCTGCGATATGCAGATGATACAACCTTGCTTGTTGAAAGTGAGGAGGACTTAAAACATTTACTAATGAAGATCGAAGAGCACAGCCTTCGCTATTGATTGCATCTCAATGTAAAGAAAACAAAAATCCTCACCACTGGACCAATAAACAACATTCTTATCAATGGAGAAAAGATTGAAGTTGTTAAGAACTTCATTCTTCTTGGATCAACTATCAACACTCATAGAAACAGCAGTCAAGAAATCAAATGACGTATTTATTGCATTATGCAAATCTCCTGCACAAGACCTTTTGAAACTGTTGAAGAGCAAAGATGTCAGCCTGAAGACTAAGGTGCGCTTGACCCAAGCCATGGTATTTTCAATAACCTCATATGCATGTGAAAGCTGGATAGTGAATAAGGAAGACCGTAGAAGAATTGATGCCTTTGAGTTATGGTGTTGGAGGAGACTATTGACAGTGCCATGGGCTGCCAAAAGAAGCAACAGATCTGTGTTGGAAGAAGTTCAGCCAGAGTGCTCCTTGGAAGCCAGGATGGCCAAACTTTGTCTCTCATACTTTGGACATACTATCAGGAGTGACCAGTCGCTGGAGAAGGATATCTTGTTTAGTACGGTGGAGGGTTAGAAAAAAAGAGGAAGAGCCCCTGAGAGATGGACTGGCAAAGTGGCAGCATCAGTGGACTCAAGCATGGCAACAATAGTGAGGTTGGCCCAGGATTGGGCAGTGTTTCGTTCTACTGTGCATAAGGTCACTATGAATCGGTATCGACTCAATGGCACCTAACAACAACATGTGTCACGACTGTATGCTTTCACCACACTATTTCAATCTGTATGCTGAGCAAATAATTCACGAAGCTGGACTATAATGAAGAAGAGCTCTGCATCAAGATTAGAGGAAGACTCATTAACAACCTGAGATATGCAGATGACAGTTTGCTTGCTGAAACTGAAGATGACTTGAAGCACTAATTGATGGAAATCAAAGATTACCACCCTTAGTATTAATTATGCCTCAACATAAAGAAAACAAAAATTCTTACAACTAGATCCATAAGCAACATCTTGATAAATGGAGAAAATATTGTGAAGAATCAGGATTTCATTTTACTTGGATCTACTATCAATACCCATGGAAGCAGCAGTCAAGAAACCAAGTGACATACTGTATAGAGAAAATCTGCTGCAAAAAAACTCTTTAAAATGCTACAAAGCAAAGATGTCACTGTGAGGACTAAGGCACATCTAACCCAAGCCATGGTATTTCCAATGGCTTCCTATGCAGGCCAAAGCTGTACTATGAACAAGAATGACTGAAGAAGAATTGATATCTTTAAATTATGGCATTGGCAAGGACTATTGAGTATACTATGGAAAGTGAATAAACAGTCTTGGAAGAAGTACAGACAGAATGCTTCTTAGAAATGAGGACTGTGTGACTTCGTCTCATGTACTTTGACCATGTTATCAGTTGGGACCCATCCTTGGAGAAGGACATCTTGCTTGATAAAGTAGAGGACCAACAAAAAAGAGGAAGACCTTCAACAAGATGGACTGGCACGAAGGTGGGAACACAGGAATGATTGTGATGGTGGTACAGAACAGGGCAGTGATTCGTTCTACTGTACATGATGTTCGAACATGACTATTGTTCATGAGTTAGAAGCGATTTGACAGCACTTAACAATGATAAAATGTACAAATATTCCATATTAAATCGAATCAATAAAGACCATACATGGTTTCACATGAGTTTAAGTGAAGGTTTAGTTCCAAATGAGTTCAAGTAAGATTTGGTTTTGTAGCCAAATGAGTTCTGAAAAAAACCTGGGTTTCCAGGGATTTTTAGATTTTAGAATTGTGAAAAAGAAACTGAAGATTATTGCACTACCATAAATTTGGAAGAACTTAAGCAAGACAAAATTACTGTCAACTTTAAAATAAGTTAAAAAACAAGGTACATGTATGTCTTTGGAATTTTAACTTCCATAAGGTTTGGTAGAAAAATAATACCTTCGGTTGTTGTTGTTGTTGTTGTTATGAAGTGCCGTTGAGTCAGTGGCACAAGGTCAATCCAAAAAGATAAAAGTTGATTCTTACCAGAAATGTGGAGTCCATTTCTGCTGTCATCAGCACTATTCCCTTTTCTTCTTTAAGTTCAGGATAGTGGTATAAAATCAACTGGCTGGCTGCAGCTTCCCCTCGGGTCTGCAAGGAGGAACACATATCAAGACCCAATAAGGAGTACCACAACAAACTGCAATTTCACAGCAAAAGAGAGTCCTGAGGAAATTCTGGCTCTTAACAGCCCATTGGGTGGCTAGTGAGTCAGAGGACTGGTGTGTGGAAGGAAGGTCATGCCTGTCAAGCCTGGTGAAACTGACAGTTTGTAAGGTGTTATTTGTGTCTTCAATTAGAAAAGGTTTGGCTTTCTTCCCAGAAAATGTTTACAGTAGGTAGTGAATCCTTCATCATGGCCATACATTTTAAAACAAAATGGCACAAGCAGCTACCAAATCACATTCTAAAGAAAGCACTGTAGAAATTACCTGTGTAATTGCCACTTTTATGCACTAGTGCATTTCACAGCTAAAATCTACTCCCTTTGGCTGGCTCTTAAGACTGAGCTCTTCTAAGCTATAACAAACAGCTGGACATTTTACACATGCACCTGATTTGTAATGTGCAGTTTTAAAATATAATCTGGGGAGAGGGAAGGTGGAGAAGAATTGGGACATAATAATTTCATGAAGCATGGACAGGTTAATAGATGTCAAGTCTAGACTAGGAACACAGTTTTGTGTTAGATGCTTGGGTTCAAAACTAAAACAGTGTAGGAAGAACCAACTACACATTCAAAACAAGATCCCTGGGCTTCATCTAAAATCTCAGTAAAAATTCCTTTCGTTATCAATAGCATACTTCTAAAATTAAACTGATCATTTTGATTATCATTATTTCTGGATTTTTCTCCTGGACTTTTCTAAGAGCTCCATGAGGATGGGACTCTCCAGTCCTTAGCGGAGTTCCTAAAACAATGGCATAATTATTAAGCCAACAAAGTTCGGAATCAGATAACCTGGCCTCAAACCCAGTTCTAACACTTATTAGCAGCATGAACCAAATAACTTCTCTAAGCCCCCTTCCTTCTCTGTAAATAGAAATAATAATAGTAACTATCTCAGAGGATATCTGTTAGGATTAAAGGACATAATGTAAATAAAGTATCTGGTATATAATATAAGAAGTACATCAAATGTTGGCTATTACTATAGCAAGTGCTGATTAAGTGATTTGTTGAAGAAATGACAAAATAATAAAGTGAAAAGATGTCCCCTCAGTCTATTTTATAACTTTTTTTCCTCAGCTTCAACACCATTATGCATGCTTGCTTTTGTCATATTTGACCCCAAATATAAAATGTGGTATTATGGTGTGGTGCTGCAGGATTAGTATTGGACTGCTAACCAGAAGGTTGGCAGTTCAAATCTACTAGCTGCTATTGGAAACCCTATAGTCAGTCACTATAAGCCAGAACAGACTCGACAGCACGTTAACAACTATAATGTAGTATGTCAATTCTAATAAGGATCTGATTTTAAATGACAAAATTTTTTTTAAAGGTTTGAATACTTTGGATCTAATGTCTAAACATTTTATTATATTTTTGGTGAAAGGCTCTAACTCCTTAGTCTAGTATTTGAAATGAAAACAAAAAGAAAGAAGGCAGCAAACAAACACAACAGCTACTGAATGGAAACTATGTATTTAACACCTTAGAAGGTACTGACTCGGTTAATAAACATACACGTATGACATGGAGCTTTCCTTAAGGGGTTTATACCTTGGCTTAAAAATGATAATCACAACTTTTCTGTGCTTGTTAAGTGAGGCACATACATTAAGTTCTACAGAAGTATGGGAAGAGAAAAGAGTGAGCCAGAAGTAACAAGGTGACTTTCGGTCTTTTCCAATTCCTTAGTATTGAGCAGGAAACTAGAAACATAAAAAACTAGCCTAATACACAGAATACGACAATTTAATTAGTGTCACAGCAAATCCTGCTGGAATTGGTAGATATACTGTATCCCAAAACCTCATCAAGAACTTCCTCCAGGGGAAGGACCCAGCTACCTACCTGAATATTTATAAGCGCAGTGAAGTGGAGTTCAGTATCTGTCCATTGTCCTACAAAGAACTCATAACCTTCCCTCCTAGGCAGTGCACACAGAAACTGTGGGAAAGAGATACATATGAAACAGATGAATATATGAGTCTTTTGTTCTGTGCCCAATCACTAGTAACATTCCCTCCATTTCTTTAATGTTTGGTATAAAAAAATTTTCTTAAGTTATGAAACTCCTAAGTAATAATCTAATAAACACCCAAGAAAGCATTAGAGATACAACTGAAGTTCCCTCTGGTGATTACTATTCAATTCATATTTCTATAATTTAATCTATATGTGGATATCTACAAAGAAGAAATACTATTTGACTATTAAAAAAAAAACAAAAAACAAAAACTAATTTAACTGTCAGTTTGTGGTATGGTGGTGGCTTACATGTTGCTATGATGCTAGAAGCCACACCACCGATACTTTAAATATTAGCAGGGTCACCTATGATGGGCAGGTTTTAGAGAAGCTTCCAGACTAAGACAAACGAGGAAGAGAGAGACCAATTTTGAATCGGCAGTCACTGAAAATCTTATGTAGTGTCAGAAGATGGGGTCCTCCGGTTGGAAGGCACTAAAAAAATGACTGGGCAAAAGCTGCTTCCTCAAAGTAGAGTTGATCACAATGATGTGAAAGGAGCAAAACTTTCAGGGTCTTTATTTGCTGATGGGGCACAACTCAAATTGAAAAGACACAAGGGCAAACAATAATAATTGCAAGGTGGAATGTATGAAGTATGAATCTCAGAAAATTGCAAGTTGTCAAATATGAAATAGAATACATAAAGATCAATATCCTAGTCATTAGTGAGCTGAAATGGACTGGTATTGGCCATTTTGAATTGGACAGTTGTTTGAATTCAAATAAATTCCAGTGAGGAATTTTCAAAGAGTATTTCAAGATCTATTTTAAAGTACAATGCTGTTATGGGATAGGATAATATCCGTACACTTACAAGAAAGACCAGTTAATTACTACTTTTATTAATTTGTGGAATCAATCACTAAAGCCAGTGATGATGAAACTGAAGAATTATATTAATTTCTTCAGTCTGAAATTGATGCAACATACATCAATCAAAATGCATTGATAATTACTGGTGATTAGAATGTGAAAGTCGGAAACAAAGAAGGATTGATAGGTTGGAAAACATGGCCTTAGTGATAGAAATGATACTGAAAAGCACATGATAGAATTTTACAAGATAAATGAGTTATTCATTGCAAATACCTATTTTCAACAACGTAAACAGCAACTATACATGTGGACTTCACAGATTTCACCAGATAGAATACACAAAAATCAAACTAACTACAGAGTTGGAACCAACTCGATGGCACGTAACAATGGGCAAAATATTGAAAGATGCAGGAAGCACCAAGAGGATAGAAGGAATACATAGTCACTGTACCAAAAAGAATTGGTTGAAGCTCAACCATTTCAAGAGGTTGCATATCTGTGGAGTAGCTCAGTAACATCAGCCAAAACAAGGCCAGGGTCTGACTGTACAACATAACATCAACTGCTCTTATACAAGTTCAACCTGAAGTTGAAGAAAATGAAATCAAGTACACAAGAGGCAAAATATGACCTTGAGTACATTCCACCTGAATTTAGAGACCAACTCAAGAAAAGATTTGATATATTAGACACTAATATCCCAAAACCACAAGAGTTGTGGGATGACATCAAGAACATTATACAAGAAGAAAGCAAAAGATCTTTAAAAACACAGGAACGAAAGAAAACATCAAAATGGATGTCACAAGAGACTCTGAAATTTGCTCTTGAGCACAGAGAAATTAAAGCAAGGGAAGAAATGAGGAAGTAAAAGAGGTAAACAGAAAATTTTAAATGGCAGCTGAGGAAGACAAAGTATTATAATGAAATGTGCAAAGACCTGAAATTAGAAAACCAAAAGGGAAGAATACGCTCAGCATTTGTCAAGCTAAAAGAACAGAAAAAAAATCAAGCCTTGACATGCAATAGTGAAGGATTCTAAAGGCAAAATGGGAGTCCTGATGTGTCACTGTAGGATAAGTGCTGGACTGCTAACTGCAAAGTTGGCAGTTCAAACCCACCACCCCCTCCTTGGAAACCCTACACAGGGTCATTGTAAGTTAAAACTCACTTCACAGTACTTAACAACAACTTGGTTACCAGTCAAGTGCTTAATTACTGTGCTTCCTAGTGGCTAGTGGCAGGGTAGGAATATCTTAAGGCACCTAGCACACAGGTTAAGCACTCAGCTTTTAACCAAAAGATGGGTAGTCTGAATAAACCCTGAACCTCTGAAGGAAAAAGACTTGGTGATCTGCTCCCATAAAGACTACACATGGGGTTGCTTTAAGTTGAGATACTCAGTGGCTCCTAACAACAACAGGGGTATCTTCTTGTTGTTGCTGTTAAGTGCTGTTGAGCTGATTACGACCCATAGTGACCCTGTGTAGGGTTTCCAAGGAGCAGCTGGTAAGCTTGAACTGCCGACCTTGTGGTTCAAACGACTTTGCAGTCTGGTGCATTAACCCACAGTGCCATTAATTACCTTTCCCTTATGATTAATGATGTTGAATATCTTTTCATGTGCTTATCTGTTATCCTACTTCTTTGGTGAAATATCTGTTCAAATCTTTTGTCCATTTTTAAACTGGGTAATCTGTCTCATTATTGAAGTATACAAGTTCTCTATGTATACTAGCTATAATTCTTTTATATATGTCTTGCAAATATTTTCTTCTAGTCAATGGTTTTTGAAAAGCAGCAATCTTTGCTGTTTGTGATATATTTAAGAAGCCTTTGGAAAACCAAAGAACACAAAAGTTTCCTCTTTTGATTCTTCTAGAAGTTACATTTAGGTCTCTGATCCATTTTGAGTTAATTTTTGTCAAGGTAGTCCTTGACTTTATGACATATTCAAGTTATAATGCAATGCCTTTTTGACAGTCTATTTTTCTGGTATATCTTATTGCTAACAATATGTTCTACATACAATGTTGCATTGCATAATTTGCTGATGTTATCATTCTCAGATGTTCAATTTTATGATTTGCTATTCAAAATAATGCTACATAGAAGAGGGAAGAAATGCTGAAGAAATATTGAGAAAGAGGAAGAAGAGAAGTTGTCAAAAAAATTTTACAGAGAAAGGATTCACTGAAGATTTTTCTTAACTGAACCCTACACTGATTATTTTGCTAAGATTAAAAAGCAGATTCAGGAAGCAGTGAGATGTTACAATGAAATATATGAAGTAAAAAAGAAAAGGACCAGACAATTCTTCAATTTTCTGACTAGAAACACCATCCCTATTCCTAGTGATAATCCATAAGTGACGTTCTTACTGTAACTTACAAAATGCCAACTCTTCTTCATGTCAGAGTAAAATTTTGTGATTTGTGGACTTTTTATGTTTATGTATTAAAACATATCTGTAAGTTTACATATAATGTCACCCCTCAAAACAAATAAAGATTGGATTTATAAAGATACTGGTAACAAAAGGCAGTAATAGTGGGGGACAAGAGAGAAATGAGATATTCAAAACAAAACAAAAATCTGTTGTAAGCTGGGACTGCCTGTATACAGTATGTTGTTGTTGTTGTTATGTGCCATTGAGTTGGCACTGACTCACAGCGACCCTATATACAACAGACCGAAACATTGCCCAGTCCTTGGCCAACCTCACAAATGTTGCCATGCTTGAGCCCATTGATGCTGCCACTTTGCCAATCCATCTTGCTGGGGGTCTTCCTCTTTTTCTCTGACCCTCCACCTTACCAAACGTGATATCCTTCTCCAGTGGCTGGTCCTTCCTGACAATATGTCCAAAGCATGAGAGATGAAGTTTGGCCATCCTGGCCTCCAAAAAGCACTCTGGCTGTACTTCTTCCAACACAGATCTGTTGGTTCTTTCGGCAGCCCATGGCACTTTCAACAGTCTCCTCTAACACCATAACTAAAAAGCATCAATTCTTCTGTGGTTTTCCTTATTCACTGTCCAGCTTCCGCATGCATATGAGGTTACTGAAAATACCATGGCTTGGGTCAGATGCACCTTAGTCCTCAAGCTGACATCTTTGCTATTCAACACTTTAAAAAGGTCTTGTGCAGATTTGCCTAATGAAATATGTTGTTTGATCTCTTGCCTGCTACTTCCATGTGAGTTGATGGTTGACCCAAGAAGAATGAAGTCCTTGACAACTTCAATCTTTTCTCCATTGATAAGAATGTTGTTTATTGGTCCAGTGGTCAGTATTTTTGTTTTCTTTACATTGAGATGCAATCCATAGTGAAGGCTGTGCTCTTTAATCTTCATCATTAGGTATTTTAAGTCCTCTTCACTTTCAGCAAGCAAGGTTGTATCATCTGCATATAGCAGGTTGTTAATGAGTCTTCCTCCAATCCTGATGCCACGTTTTTCTTCTAGGATTATTTGCTCAGCATACAGGTTGAATAAATATGGTGAAAGAATACAACCCTGTCGCACACCTTGCTTAATTTTAAACCATTCAGCATTACTATGTTCTGTTTGAACAACTGCCTCTTGGTCCATGTACAGATTCCTCATGAGCACTATTAAGTGTTCCAGAATACTCATACTTCACAATGTTACAGTATAGGGTAAGAGTGAAAAACCAGTTGCTGTAGAGTTGATTTTGACCCATGGCAGCCTCATGTGTGTCTCAGAGTAAAATATGATCTATACAGTTTTCAATGGCTGATTTTTCAGGGGGAGATCACCAGGCCTATCTTCTGAGGTGCTTCTGGGTGGACTCGAAATGCCAAACTTTCAGTTAGTAGCAGAGTGCATTAATCACTTGTACCACCCAGGGACTCTGAGATAAGAGTAGAGGTTAATTTTTTTTTTTTTTTCCCATCGATATTCAATTGTTTTAGCACCACCTGTTGAAAAAAATTATCCTTTCCTCAATGAATTACCTTGGCATCTTTATCAGAAAATTACTACAGACTCATATATATTGATCTTTATCTGAAGTATATACGGTTATGTGGATACTGTGTCTATATTTATGCTAATACCACACTGTCTTCATTACTGTGGCTTTATAATAAATCTTAAAATCAGAGAATGTTAAGTTTTCTAGGTGTGTTCTTTTTCAAAATAGTTTTAGTTATTTTGGGTCCTTTGGATGTCCAGGTAAATTTCTATTAACAGTATGCTAATTTCAAAATAACAACAAAAAAAATTCTGTTGGGATTTTGATTTTATTCCGTGGGAGAAAGATGAGGCTTTCTGCTCCCGTAAAGATTTACAGCTTCAGAAACCCTGTACAGGGTCGCTATGAGTTGGAACCGACTCCACAGCACATAACAACAACAACATAGGTCAACTAAGGAGCTCTGGTAGCGTAGTGGTTATGACTCGGGCTGTGAACCACAAGGTGAGCAATTCAAAACTACCAGCTGTTTTGCGGGAGAAAGATGAGGCTTTTTGCTCCCATAAAGATTTACAGTCTCGGAAACCATGTACAGGGTCACTATGAGTCGGAACCAACTCCACGGCACATAACCACTACCACCATAGGCCAACTTGGGAGGGCAACTAACATCCTAATAATATTGAGTGTTTCAATCCATGAACATGGTGCATTTCTCTACTTATTTAGGTTTTATTTTCTTCTGTCATAGTTGGAATTTTTTTTTTGAGAACTCTAGAAATTATATTGATACCTCGTCAGCTGGGCCACTTATTTCCTCTCATTTAGGCCTGGTGGTAGCTCATTACCTAGCAACAATCTCATAATTACTTTTAGGCACATATTACCAGATGGCATGACAACTGCAAATAAAACTGCCAATAAACAGGAACTTCAAGAAGGATGGTGTCCTGCTGGTACAGTGACTTAAGCATGATGCTGCTAACTGGAAGATTAGCAGTTTAAACCCACCAGCCATTCCAAGAGAGAAAGATGAGACTGTCTGCTTCTGCTTCTATAAAGATTTAAACTCTAAGGAGCAGTTCTTCGGTTTAATAGGGTTGCTACAAGTTGAAATAAACTTGATGGCAGTAGGGTTTCTTTTTTTTTGGGCGGGGGGCGGACGGATTTAAGGAAAATAAAAATATTAAGGCCACAAGTGCCTTCCAACCAACATGAACCTATACTAATAGACGTAGAACCAGATTTGTAAGGGCTGAGATGTGGCACAGAGATAAAATAATAACAAGAGTACTGGGTCAAATCAGTATGATTCCATAAAGCTGAAAATCTCACTGATCAGTATAATCAACATGTGAGCATCTGTGTCAAATAACAGAGCACTATAACATGTAAAACAGCACAGAGCATAATGGGATTAGCTTGAGATACATTCTTGGTTAGCATCACTGGGTCCTTACTGTTGGACAGGACTGAGCCCGGTTCCAGATCAAATCAAACTTTTCTTCCTGTAGGTTGGAAAAGAATAAAATTAACTCACAACCTAAAAAGGTTACAGTCACATGTAAATTAATCAAAACTGAACTCTAAAACTAAAACAATCTTTAAAGTTCCATCATTTACAAATTACGCTTATGAGAGAAAGAGGAAAGCCCAGATATACACTTTACTGTTGAATATCAGAATTATGTGTGAAGAGTGGATGCTCCAATTCAAAGTATCCAGGGGATTCTGACAAGTTTCAGTGATATCAGGCCATTGAGCCAAGCCTGAGAAGGTCTGTTTAAACAATGAGTCAGTATCAGAGATGTAAAACATCATGAAAAGAGTTAACCCTTTTTGACTGATGAATTCATGAAGAGCAAATGTATATACATGTGTAGGAGGGAGAAGGAGAGAGCAATAACCTCACAACAACAAAAGGTCCTGGCTTTATTCTTCCACCTATGAAGTTTTCTTCTTAATCTTATACTTACACATGTAAGCCCAGTACATATTTATGTACTTGGTATAAACATAACATAAGCTACTTATTCAGGGAAGAAGACTTAGCTGATAATCCAGTACTTGAAGTGCTTTGTTATGGTGGAGGTCAGCAGAGGGACACCAAACCAGAGAAAGCCAACAGCATCCTTTCCTAGTCACAGACCTCAATGGTGAAGCAGTGGCCAGTGACAGTTTCTAAGACAGTAATTTTAGGAAGGGAAAAACCAAAAAAATGCTACTTGCTCCAGGGAAATGCTAGAAAAAGACTAGGAGGAGGCTCCAAGTCAGCTTAGGAGTTGGTCACTTACAGACTAGAAGGGAAGAAAGCTAAGCTAGAGGCTCTGTCTTTTGGAAAATACCAAAATAAATAAAAGACATTCGGAAATTGCTTGACAATATGAACTTACACCATACTTCCTTGTCAAAGACTTGACTCAAAGAGACATTTCTAAATGTCTAATTCCAGAAAGAGGGAAAACAAGAGCCATAAATATACCATATGGAGCTTCCAATCTTTGGTGCTCAGGGTATAATAAAAACCCTCAGAGCTGTAATATACAAGTTCTCAAGCGGCAATAAACATAAAAAAAGTAAAGGCAACTGCCTGCTAAGGTTACAGCTTTGACCTTCCTATTACAACACTTTCATTTTCCCCTCCAAACTACTTACAGGAATAACTGCGAAGACTGTATCTTTTGCTGCAAAATATTGTTGCCAAATCTGTACAAAAAAGAGAAGGTGTTTGTGACGTGTGGGTAATCTTTTCAATCTGTGCTAAGAAATGGTGACAGTTTTTATTTCTCAGAATAATATATAAAGGGAGGAAAATTTCAACATAAAGCTTTTCTTACTGGTATATGATTGCAAACAAAGATTTAATACTTCCACATGATTAAACTGTGACTCTTAATAACAAATTCCTGTCAAAGAATCTGATTCTTAGATCTTGCTAATTATTCTGTTCAATATAAGTCTTGTGTATAACAATCTATGGAGTTCTGGTTTGGTGCTGTAGGACAAGCACTGGATTGGAAGGTTGTTTGAATCACAAAGTAGACGGTTCAAACTCACCAGCCACTCCTCAGAAACCCTATACAGGATCACCGAGTTGGAACTGACTCGACTAGCACTTAACAACAGCAACAATAAAAACAACAATCTCTCCCCCCACCCATTATCTTTTCTCTTCCTTCCCTACACACTTACTTCCTTAGTCAATTGTGGACCCTTTTTAGGGACCAAGACAGGAAACATTCAGGTCCCAGAATTTGGAGTTCTGGTAGACCTGGATATGAATCCCAGCTTCTAATCCTTTACTGGCATGCTACCTTGAACAAATTACCAAAACTCTAAATAACAACAGAAAAATGGCAGTAATAAATTTACAGGATTATTGTGAGAACTAACAAAAAATTATGTAATTATACTGGCACAGGGGAAACACTACAAATAAATGGCAACTTTTAAACTAACTTTTTAACTGCTTCTTACAGGCAGCTCTTAAAATTCTGTTTCTACAATGACTCTGCTGGATCTGAAGTCCTACCTCAGCTTAGCATCAAAGAATGGGGAGGGCATAGTTGGTCTTTATTATGCAAATACTAAAAGGTAGGGAATACTCTCAAACAATCATTCATTATTCAGCAAACATTTTTTCTACACCTTTTGGGTTACAAAGTATTGGGGGCAACACAGACAGACAGAAACCTTGCTTATGTAGGGCTTCCTAACTACACAGGGAGAAAAAGCTACATGTAAATGGCTTTACTAAAAAGTAACATATCCTAGGCATCTTATGAGAGGTATAAAGTACAAAAGCAGTTCATAGAATAACTTCAGACTGAAGTGATCAAGGAATCTACATGGAGGAAGAGAGATGTAGGCTTAGCTTTAGAAGATGGAAAACATTTTGGGAGTGATAGATGGAGGGGCAGATTGTGGAACAGACCATCAATTGCTCATATGCAAATTCACACTGAAGCTGAAGATAATGAAGAGAGCCAAAATATGACCTTGATTATATCACACCTACATTTAGAGATCACCTGAAGAACAGATTAGATACATTAAACATTAAAGACCAAAGAACAGAAGAGTTATGGGATGACAGCAAGAACATCATACAGGAAGAAAGCAAAAAGTCATTAAGAAGACAAGAAAGAAGGAAAAGATCAAAATGGATGTCAAAAGAGACTCTGAAACTTGCACTCTAGCATAGAGATGCTAAAGCAAATGAAGAAATGAGGAGGTCCAAGAGTTGAACAGAAAATTTCAAAGATCAGCTCAAGACGATAAAGCCAAATATTACAACAAAATGTGCAAAGATCTGGAGTCAGAAAACCAAAAGGGAAGAACACGCTCAGCATTTCTCAAGCTAGGGGAACTGAAGGAAAAAATTCAAGCCTGGACTATTGAAGGATTCTCTGGGCAAATTATTGAATGATGCAGAAAGCATCAAAAGAAGATAGAAGGAATACACAGTCACTATACCAAAAGGTAATGGTCTATGTTCAACTGTTTCAGGAGGTAACATATGGTCAATAGCCAATGATACTAAAGGAGTAAGTCCAAGGTGCATTGAAAGAATTGGGAAAGAACAGGGCACCAGGAATTGATCGAAATAAAAATTTCTTTCAAGATAGTGAGGTGGAACTGGAGGCACTCATTCATCTATGCCAAGAAATATGGAATACAACTATCTGGCCAACTGATTGCAAAGAAATCTGTTATTTGTGTCCATTCCAAGGAGCGGTGACCCAACGGATTGTGGAAATCATTCGACAATATCTTTGATAGCCAATGTGAGTAAAGTTTTACTAAAGGTAATACAGAAATGGCTACAAGCATACATTGACAGAGAACTTCCAGAGGTTCACGACGGATTCAGAAGAGGCCATGGAACGAGGCATATTATTGCTGATGTCTGATGGATCTTGGCTGAAAGCAGAGAATACCAGAAAGATGTTCACCTGTGCTTTATTGATTATGCAAAGACTTTCAATTGTGTGGATAATGACAAGCTATGGACAACATTGTGAAGTATGAGTATTCCAGAACACTTGATTGTGCTCATGAGGAATCTGTACATGGACCAAGAGGCAGTTGTTCGAACAGAACATGAGAACACTGAATGGTTAAAAATTAAGAAAGGTGTGTGATAGGGTTGTATTCTTTCACCATACTTATTCAACCTGTATGCTGAGCAAATAATTTGAGAAACTGGGTTATATGAAGAAAAACGTGGCATCAGGATTGGAGGAAGACTCATTAACAACCTGCGATATGCAGATGATACAACCTTGCTTGCTCAAAGTGAAGGAGACTTAAAATACCTAGTGATGAAGATCAAAGAGCACAGCCTTCACTATGGATTGCATCTCAATGTAAAGAAAACAAAAATCCTGACCACTAGACCAATAAACAACATTCTTATCAACGGAGAAAAGACTGAAGTTGTCAAGGACTTCATTCTTCTTAGATCAACCATCAACACACATAGAAGCAGCAGTCAAGAAATCAAATGACATATTGCGTTAGGCAAATCTGCAGCACAAGACCCTTTTAAAGTGCTGATGAGCAAAGATGTCAGCTTGAGGACTAAGGGGCACCTAACCCAATCCATGGTATTTTCAATAACCTTATATGCATGCGAAAGCTGGGCAGGAAGACCACAGAAGTTGAGTTATGGTGTTGGAGGAGAATATTGACAGTGCCATGGGCTGCCAAAAGAACCAACCAATGTGTGTTGGAAGAAATGCAGCCAGAGTGCTCTTTGGAGGCTAAGACAGCCAAACTTTGTCTCTCATACTTTGAACATATTGTTAGGAGGGAACAGTCACTGAAGAAGGATATCATGTTTGGTAAGGTAGAGGGTCAGAGAAAAAGATGGATTGGCAAAGTGGCAGCATCAATGGGATCAAGCATGGCAACAATTGTGAGGTTGGCCCAGGACCGGGCAGTGTTTCGTTCTGTTGTTCATAGGGTTGCTATGAGTCAGTACCGACTCGATGGTACCTAACAACAACAACAAGATGCAATGAGGAAAACTTTCCAGTCAGAGAGAGTAACATGTATGATGTTGCATCTAGCTTTTTATCACTTATCATTGTATTATATGTATGCTTTGTCTTCATGCTTTTCAATGCCACTATTCTTATTGTTCTCCATGCCTTTTCACAAGTTATTGTCTGTGTTCCTAACCAATATACTATACTTCTTCATAATGAAAGCAGAACTTTAAGAGGGTTCAACTGTTGAGGATCTAATAGGTGGAAAGGGAATGGGAGAAATTGGAGAAGGGAAGTCTATTTGGAGGTAGTATAGTAATTCAGTTTGAGAGTACTAATAGTTTAAAATCAGATGTGGAGAATAGAAATAAAAAATGTAAAAGGGGAAGGTGAGCTGATAAGACATACAGGAGTGAGACCCAGAAAGACCAAGCTTCTTATGCCTCCATTCTTTACGTAATTTATCACCTTTATTTTTATGACATTTTGACAAGAAAGAGGTGTCAGGAAATGTGTGCTCTTTTTCACATTTAGATTTGGTTCACAGAGCACACATTTTCATAGTATGTCAACTCATTTTTATTCATTACCTGTTTTATTTCTTCTGCTGTCTTGTCTTTCACCATCTCAATGTTAAAGATTGAATTTAGAGTCTGAAAGAAAATAAAAGGCGATTAATATCCAGAATTTAAAAAACCAAAACCCAGCTTAATTTTCTCTCTTGGCACTGTGGAAGCCATATGTCAGGAGAGTGAAGTAGATCTGCATAAATAGAGAACAAGCATAAGAAAACCGGCCTACTCTAAGGAAGTGAGCCTTCAGGCCCAGGCAGAATTTCAGTTTTATTTCTGGGGAGTATTTATAGGTTACAGTGTAGTTCCCATCACCACCCATGTGTCAATTTGTTTTACTATGGTCAGGTTTTCATGTTGCTATGAGGATGGAAGCTATGCCACCCATATTTTACATACCAGCACAGTCACCACATTGGTAGGTTTAAGCAGAGCTTCCAGGCTACGATAGACTAGGAAGTAAGGCATGGAGCTCGACTTCTGAAAATCAGCTAATGAAACCCTGTAGACCACTACAGCAAAATGTCCAACATAGTGCTGTAATATGAGCCCCCTAGGTTGGAAGGCAATCAAAATACACGGTGGTCATAACAGCAGGCTCAAGCATACCACTGTTTTATACATGGGGTCTCAGAGAGTCAGAGTTGACTCAGCAGTAACTAACATAACACAACATAATGCATATAACGTTACATAACATAGCGTGTACTTTCCAAATGCTTTACGCTCTCCTATCAGCCCCTCAGCACTTCGTAGCTGGTAAGAGAAAGTTTAGAAGTTATTTTTAATTTAATTGCTATTCTAACAAGGGTGGGTCCTATTTGCAATTGATTAAGAGAAAATGTGTTTTTATTTGGTTTCAGAGCTACTTCACATAGAAAAGAAAAGGGTGACTATATTTTCTTCACATTTCCTCTAGCACCCCCCCAAGGACTCACACTATGCTAGGGGTCACATCAAGGACACACACATAAAAATCTATGAAAACTTCTCATCTGTATGGTTGAAAAAGCACCTTACATGAAATTACTGAACCACTATAAATATTTTCAAATTTGCAGCCTCTTGTTAAGACATATTCCATGACTTCAGAATTGGGTCTCTGTATTTAAATGAAAACCTACCTTATCCTTAGTGAATCCTCTGCTCATAGACTGTTTCCCCATGGTGTCTGTCTAAAATACAAGATGAGACAAGAGCATTAATTTCCACTTTACTCATAAGAAAAAGACCACCACTCTAGATGAGGTACCCTTCTCATTAAGTAATTTTATATTTGATAACTCAGTTTTCTCCATTCTTTATAATATCCTGAAGACATTGTTCTAAAAGTTATTATTTGTGAAACATCTTTCTTCTCAAGAATCTTCTGTTAGTAACTGAGACTCTGGAGATGAGAAAGAATTTCTCAGCCAGAAGAAGAAACTAATCCGTGTGGGAAGATGTACAACCAGAATGCTCCTTTGAAGTCAGGATGGCAAGACTTCATCTCTCACACTTCGGACATACTACCACAAGGGATCAGTCCCTGGAGAAGGTTATCATGCTAAGTAAAGTGAAGGTCAGCAAAAAAGAGGAAGATTCCCCACCCGCCCCCCACCAATGAGATAGAATGACACAGTGGTAGCAGCAAAGGACTCAGCTTAACAATGGTTGTAAGGATGGTGCAGGATCGGGCAGTGTTTAGTTCTGTTGTGCACAGGATCGCTGTGAGTCAGAATCGACTTGATGACACCTAACAAGAGCCACTAGTTACTGACTAGTACTACTCTGGTACGGAGAATCCATTCTGAACTTGCTTCTGTGAATATGAGGGATTCCTTCTCCAAAGGAGGCCTGCTTGGCCTTCCTGTGTTATGCCCTCTGATATGTGTGTTCCCAATTGAGCTATAGTTGGGACGAGAAACTTAAAGATGTATTTCTTACAGCTGTTTCTTATACCTGACAGTACTTTTTTTTAATGTTTTATTGTGAATTATGTGGTAGTTTACATGGGAGAACATTAGCTTTACATTCATCCTATCTTATATCGTTTCATTGCCATGATTAAAAAATCCTCTCCATGCATCATCAAACAACCAAAGGGTATACCCTGCAAGCCTGCTCCCCAGTCGTCAGCACACAGCCCCTTCTCCTCCTCTGGGTCTAAAGTCCCCAGCCACTCCATCAATGTCTCTGTTTCCATCTCTGGTGTCACTGCTTCTCTGGGTAGGGTCCTGCTCTCTGCTTTCTCCCTTGATGGTACCAGGGACCTCTGTTCCTAGACTGAAAAGTCAATCACTCCCTTCCTTTTGGTACAAAATGTCTACCTTTACATTTCCAACCCTCACAATCAGTCCTGATAACCATTATTCACTATTGTATCACAAGAGACCGATCTGCATTTCCTTTCATCAGCCCCGCCTAAACAGACTGGATACTACTAAGTGGAGATTCTACCTTCCTCCACGCCCTAAAGATCTAGGCTCCCTCTTGAAAGCTTGTAAGCCAGTCCCTTCTTGCCTTTGTAGCCCCCCCCCCCCATTTTGGGGGTAGCCAATGTCCAAGTTGCCCACCCCCTGACTGTACTTTTAATGACTGGGGTTACCAGCTGACTAGAGTTTTATCCAGTATTCAGTCTTAACATTCTCTCTTCAAATTATTGTTGTTGTTAAGTACCGTCAAGTTGGTTGTGACCCGTAGTGACCCTGAATAGGAGCAGATGGTGAACTTGAACTGCTGACCTTGAGGTTCAAACTGACTTTGCAGTCCAGCACATTAACCCACAGAGCCACACCAGAACTCCCCACAGCGCCCTACTCAAATTACACTCCTGAAAAAAGGCCAAGAACTGAAAGCAGTTATTTTCCCTCCCCTAGCCTTCTATCTCTGATAAAGGTCTGGCAAGAATTTGTACATGTATTTTAAATTGTCTCTAGTCATACAGATGGATTGTCCTAAGTTGTCCACTTAGTCACTCAGTCGAAGAACAGGCCTTTCAGAGGAAAGGAGCACAGTCTAAACCTGGAATTCTGAGGCTGAAAAGTCTTTCAGTATAAAATCCTGCCTTTTTTGCACTGTGTTTTCATGAATACAAACCTTTCAGAAATAATGCCCACAGAACCTGTAAGAACAAATCGGACAAAAGCCTGGTGTAGAAAAATCTGTTGGATACACTGGTCTTTTTGGCCACATTCCTCTTTATAGGCAGCATTCTAATGCAGCCTCACCGTCCTATGAAACCATCCAAAGGAGAAAAAATAATTTTCACTTCATCTTTATATCACTGACCCTCAAGTGTACATGAAAACAAAACAAAGCTCTGTTTGCACAGTCACCTTCACATTTTAATCACCAAGTCCCATGTAGTCTTTCTCTACAATGTCCCTCCAACTCATTATTGGTTTCCATTTTCATTTGTAGAAGTAAAAAATTTAAGTCCCTAAGTATAAGCATATTATATTTTACCAAAGCTAAGACATCAGCGGTTTAAGATGTACCATTATTTTATGTACCAGAAAATATCAATTAAACAAAAACGTAATACTTTCACATGGTATCTATTGTAAGGTATTTTCAGATATTAAAATGTAAAAACCAAAAAACCAAAAATGTGTGCTTTAAAATTGATGAAATGAGGTAATTAAAATTAGAGTTGAGGGGAGTAATAAACTTTGCAGTCTAGGAGCAGAGGTCTCTGGGACCATGAAGGGAGAAGAGCGGAGAGCGGGACCCTACCCAGAGAAGCAGTGATGGAGGCAGAAACGATGACGTGGAACGATGGAGCAGCTGGGGACTTTAGACCCAGAGAGGGAGAGGGGCTGTGTGCTGACGACCGGGGCGTTGGGGAGTGGGGGGAAGGGGAGCAGGCTTGCAGGGTATACCCTTTGGTTGGTTGATGATGCATGGAGGGGATTATAACCATGGCAATGAAATGATATACAATAGGATGAATGTAAAACTAATGTTCTCCCATGTAAATTATCACATCATTCAGAATAAAACATTAAAAAAAAAAATTAAGATTTGAGATTCCCCACCCACCCCACCCCACATAGAGCTGCAGGCCTATGGTAAACTGTGAACACCAGCCTCTGTTCCACAGGATGGGGTTTGTCAAAGTTGTGAAGAACAAGGCCTACTTCAAGAGACATTAAGACAAGAGGTTAAAACTGATTACTATGTTCAAAAATGCTTGGTAATCCAGGATAAACATCAGTACAATACATCCTAACACAGGATGATCGTTTGTATAACCAACAGAGATATAATTTGCCCGACTGCTTACACCTGTATAGAAGGGGATATGAATGTCTGCACAGCTTGTACTCACAAACTCCCAAAGTATGGTATGAAAGTTGGTCAGAAAAATTATTGGCCTGCTGCTGGCCCACAGGCTTCTCAATAGGTTTGTTGTTGTTGTTATGTGCCGTGGAGTCGGTTCCGACTCATAGCAACCCTGTACAGGATTTCCGAGGCTGTAAATCTTTACGGGAGCAGAATGCCTCATCTTTCTCCTGCAGAACAGCTGGTAGTTTCGAACTGCTGACCTTGTGGTTCACAGCCCGATTCGTAACCACTACGCTAGGAGGCCAAATGGAGGTAACTGGAGACAAATACAATCTGGGAAGCATTGATGGTCAACTTGGTGCCTTCAGCTGCTATTTGGATACAGACTTTGCCAGAACTACTACTGGAAATTAAGTTTTGGGACTCTGAAGGGAGCTGTGGATGTAGGCTTGTCTATCCCTCATAGTACCAAGTGATTCCCTGGTTATGATTCAGAAAGCAAGTAATTCAATGTAGATGTACACTGGAAACACATCATGGGTTAGAACATTGCAGATTTTAAGTGTTACCTAATGGAAGAAGATGAAGATACTTACAAGAAACAATTTCTCAAAACATAAAGAACAATGTAACTCCAGACAAGAGGGAGGAGATGCATAAGAAAGCCCATTTATGAAAAGAAGCCTAAGAAAGATGTTAAAAAGAAGAGATGGAGTTGTCTCAAAATGTCTCTTGCCCAGAAGAAAGATCTGGGTAGCTTAGAAGAAGGCAAGCTTTCAGAGTTCAGGAGTGTTGCTGAGAGCTAAACCAAACCACAATTTTCTGAGACTATTCCAGAGAAACACATGCAAAACAACAACAACAACAACAAAAAAAAACACACAAAAAACTAGAGTTGAAATTGTATGTCAAAAGTGTTAAGAACACTTAACACAACATTTAAATGAGTGCATAACTGTCCCCTAGGGATGCTTTGGAAATCTGTGAGGGCACTTTTTAATTGTCACAATAATTAATTTGAATGTGATGCCTGTATTTATGGGAGGGCCAGGGATAATACCAAATACTAGAAGAACTGCAGTTTGCAGATGAGTTCTATATAAAGAAGGCTATTTCCCTCGTCCTGCACAACTCTTCAATGTCTAGCCAGCCATTCTTATAAGTGGAAAACTTTTTCATACACCTGGGCCTAGAGCCTAACTCCATTTTGCTTTTATTAAAAAAAAAAAAAAATGACTTTAATAAACATTGAATTTTCTATCAATACAACTACTATATAACTGAGAGAAGACTACATTGTGGACTTTCAGGTCATTGACAACACAGCTCATGGTTTTGAAGTCATCAATGTAACATCCCTGTACCAGTCAGCATTTGCTGCTGCTATGGTCATGGTGATTTCACATATAGGTAAATATTTCTGACTACATTCATTCTCATAGTAATGCTACGCCCAAGAATTAACATACGCCTAAGACAGGCAGCGTGTCCCTTAAACAAACAATAAGGAGGATTCGGATGCAGACCGTGCAAACCCGGTCAGGAGGCCAAGCCCCTGTGGGCCTAAGCGTTGTTGACCGTCCAAACCATAGGCTCTGAGGATCAGACTTTAGCTACCTAGTAGACATAGCAAACTGTCCCTCATCTGATTATTCAGTAATGCTTGTTAGTAATCTCATACATGAGCCCTGGATATCCACAGACAAATGTAAAAACCTTCCCTAAAAGCCGAGACTGTAAATTCCAAAAAGGCAAGTCCCCCCCATCAAAAAAATAAATAAAAAAAAGCTAAAGAGGATGATATATGGAGGGGATAATAATCAATGTAATGAAACAAGCTATATGAATGGTTGAATGTGAAGCTGATGATGTGCCCTGTAAACTTTCACTCAATCCAAAATAAAAACATTTAATAAAAAAAAAAAGACTTAACATACTAAAATATGTATTTAAAAATATTTTCCTTTATATTATGATTAGGGTATTACAGATTCCTACCATATCTCAACTCGATGGCACTTAACAACAACAACAACCATACCCCAAATTTTGTGTGGCTTGTATTATCTAGATTTCATTTCAGGATAGAAAAGGGAAAATTAAAAGAAAAATATATAATAAAAAAGTGATGTTGAGTCCAATATAAGGAACCAATAACAAAGTAGAGAAAAGGCTTTGGGAATGAAAAGTACAAGGCCAGTCATTAGCCTTCCTGTAGGTTGCTATAAGTTGGAATTGACTTGACAGCATTTAACGACAACAACAACAAATCTAGGTAAAGAAAAAAATAAGCAAATTTTCACCTTAAGAGTAGCCATAATTTAAATTAAATCTTTATTTATTCAGCATGTCATTATCATGAAGTTGAATTTCTGTTTACAAAAAGGGTCAAAAAGCTTTCCTATATAGTACTGAAAGTTTAATACAGCAATATTTCCAAGAGCCATTGATCTGTAACCTTGATTATGCACAATGAATCTTTAGTATAGGAAATTATTTATTCACAGAGAGTTGTAAATGATGTGTGTCACAGAAGGTTGAAATTGTTCACCCATCTTGTGATGATTAACCCACTGACTACTGATTTTGTTCTAATCAACTAAGTTATTAAAAAAGTAAGTTTTCTGAAAAGTAGAATACCCACGGCAATAAATAAATAAACATATCTAAGTTGCCTTTAAAACAGAATCCTAGTTTTCCATTATTAGTGACCTTATTTCTAGCTCTCAGCAGCCCACACCTGGATTACTGCACATAGTCCCTGGTTCCAGCTTCTCCCATTCCTCCACCTGCCTTTGTAAATAAGTCTTACTGGAAGATAGTCATATCCAATCATTTATTTATTGTCCATGGTTGCTTTTGTACTACAACAATAGAGATAAGTGGTTGCAACAGAGACCAAATAGCCCACAGAGTCTAAAATATTTACTATCTGGCTCTTTACAAAAAAAAAAATTGCCAACCCCTATTCTACATTCAAATCCCATCCATCCTTCCTAGTCTAGGACAGGTTCCACCTCCCCTGGGAAATCTAATCCCCATAGCCCACTGCATGTGTAGTGGTCTGCTAGACAGCACTCCAGGGGAGCAGAACTATGTCTTTTATCCCTTTACATCTCCACCATGACCAGAGCACCTTGCCCAGAAAGAGGAGAATACACATTTGTGGATGGAGACTGAACCCAGTAGAAAGATATTCAGTACATCCAGCTGGTCTATCAATGAGCCCACTCCCAGAGTGGGCTCATTGATAGGGTGGTTTATATAATGATGAGTCAACCATATAAACACAAGGGCCAGGTCTTACCTTTTGTTCCATACATTTGATAAAGTCACCTTGCCTGGAGTGTCCTACTGGCTGCTTCTGAAACTCACTGCGCTTCTCCAGGCGAGACTCAAAAGCAGCAGGGTCAGATCTGATCAAAGGTAAACCAGAGGTTAAACCATCAGGGCTGGTTCTGATTTTGAAATAAAAAGGCATCATATTCTATCTCCATAGAGAGTAGAAGAGATATTCAGAGCTGAAGGACTTACTTTCAGTTACCTAGAACAGAGCAGAAGCCTCAAAACAGGACAGGACAAAAAAGGTAAGAAAAAAAAACAACTAGTTATTAAACTACAATCAATTCTCAAGGGTCCTGTGTAGCATGTTCTCCTGCAGATTATTCCCTAGAGTGACAAAGAGCTTGGTCCCTCCTCAGATGTACATAGGCTCCTTAGGATGCGAAAGGGTACTGTGAGTCATGTGGCGTGTTACTTCTTACAGCATCCCTTCTAGGTATCAAAGTTTTACTTCAGCACTTCCAGCTTTTTCAGCTTTCAGTATGGGTCATGACTCAATGTAAAGAAGAAGAAGAAAAAAATCCTCACAAATGCACCAATAAACATCATGATAAACAGAAGATACACATTGATTTGTAATCCATATTGAAAGCTTCATTCATGGGCACTTTTTATTAGGAAAAATTCTGAACCAAAATTTCTCTCTGTGACTTTCACTGTCAGGAACAGGAGAAAATGCCTCATTCCTTCTATATGAATACTTGAAAATTGCTATTGTGACTTCTTAGGTTTTTCTTCTCTAGGTTAATTCTCACCTTTTTCTCAGTCCTTCCTCATATGATGTCATTAGGTGTCGTCAAGTCAGCCCTGACTCATAACAACCCTATGTAGAACAGAATGTAACACTGTCCAGTCCTGTGCCATCCTCATGATTGGTATGTTTGAGCTCATTATTGCAGCCACTCTGTCAATCCATCTAATTGAGGGTCTTCCCTTTTCACTGATCCTCTACCAAGCATGCTGTCCTTTTCTAGGGACTGGTTCCTCCTGACATGTCCAAAGTACATGTGGCAAAGTCGCATCATACTCACTTCTAAGGGGCATTCTTCCAAGGCAGATTTGTTTTGTTTTTTTTATGGCAGTTCATGGTATTGTCATTATTCTTTGCCAACACCATAATTCAAATGTTTTCACATGCATATGAGATGACTGAAAATCATGGCTTGGGTCAGGCATACCTTATTCCTCAAAGTGAGATCTTTGCTCTTTACCACTTGTATAATGAACTACTGGACCTAGACATGGTCGTGACAATTTCAATCTTTTCTCTGTTTATCATGATGTTGTTTATTGGTCAACTGTGAGGATTCTTTTTATTTTTTGTAATAAACAATTTTTTTCTTCTTGCTTTATTATTTTTTAAAACTTTAGTGACTTGAGTAAAGGTTTACAGACAGTATCATCAGTTTTATATTAAACAATGAAACATTGTTTCATCTCAATGATTACAATCCCTTCCATGCAACAACCGTTATCCCACTTGTTTCCTATTTCCATTCCACCCACCTTCCCATCTCTTCTCAACTTTGTCCTTAGTAAATGTTGCCCTTTTGATTTTGAATGATTGACCATTCCATGGTGAATATACCTTACTAGTGTTGTTGTTCCCCCTATAAACCTATCTACTGCTTGGCTGAAAATTATGTCATGAGGTTAAGTTCTTTTCCTGACCTGAAGGATGGTCGAGGTCTAATAGTCTCAGCTGTGAGGATTTTTGTTTCCTTTACATTGAGCTGTAATCCATACTGAAGGCTGTATTCTTCAATCTAAGTGCCTCAATTCTTCTCTGCTTTCAGCAAGCAAAGTTATCATTTGTACATCACAGGTTGTTAAAGAAACTTCTTCCGATTCTGATGCCAGTTCTTCATACAGTAATATTTCTTGGATTATTTGTTCAGCATACAGAAATACGGTGAAAGGATACAACCCTGCTGCACACCTTTCCTAATCTCAAATCACGCAGTATCCCGACTGCCTCTTGGTCTATGTACATTTCACATAAGCACAATTAAGTGTTCTGGAATTCCCATTCTTCCCAATGTTACTCATAATTTGTTATTATCTACATAGTGAAATGCCTTTGCAAAATCAATAAAACACAAGTAACCTTTTATTTTTATTTTTTTTGTAGTCTCTGCTTTCAGCTAATATCCATCTGAAGTCAGCAATTGATATCCCTTGTTACACGTCCTCTTCTGAATCTAGCTTGAAGTTTTGGCAGTACCCTTTTGATGTACTGCTGCAACTGTTTTTGATTTACCTTCAGCAAGATTATACTTGCGTAATGTTAATGATATTGTCAGGTCATTTCTATATTCTATAGGATCACCTCTCTTTGGAAGGGACATAAATATGGATCTCTTCCAATTGGCTGGCCAGGTAGCTATCACCCAAATTTCTTGGCATAGACTAGTGAGTGCTTCTAGTGCTGCATCAGTTTGTTAAAACATTTCAATTTGTATTCCATCAATTCTCAGAACTTGTTTATCACTAATGCCATCAGTGCAGCTTGGTCTTCTACCTCCGGAAATAGTTAAATGTTGATTAATTATTTTCTATCCTACCAAATCCTCTCCTTAGCCGCTTTCAATTTCACCTTTGATTTCCTTCAGCTCTTTCCACTTGACTTCTTGAGATCCTCCCAGGGCACTCTCACACCACCTCATCCCTCCACTTTCCACCTCTTCCCTCTAAAATCTGAGTAGTAGTGATTGTTGTTATTGTTGTTAAGTGTTGTTGAGTTGGTTCTGACTCATAACTTCACTATCTGGGGTTTCTAAGGAGCGGCTGGTGGGTTTCAACCTTAGACAGGGTCACTATGAGTTTGAGCCTACTCTATGGCTACCCCTCAGATTTTAGAGGGAAGAACAGGAAAGTAGAGAGGGCTGAAGTAGCTGTTAGAGTGCCCTGGGGTAGTGGTAGGAACCCTGGATTCACAGTCAGACCACCCAAGTTCTGCACTTCAACCAACTGTGTGTGTGATCTTGCAAAGCCTTACTCAACCTCAGTTTCCTCATCTGAAGGAGTTCAGTTGATGATCCAATAGTCTTTGACCTTCTACTACCATTCCCTGCAGTCAGGGCCCTCAGCGAGGAGTCTAGGGATCCTAGTTCTGGGCCAGGTCACAGCTAGCTCAATGCAACCTTGAGCAAGCCAAGCTCTAACCTTAGGAGGCTCTATTTTCCCATTTCTATAATGGAGACAGGTCTTTTGGAGCTGCCTGCCTCTTTGGGCTGCCATAAGTGTCCATTTCAGCGTTTTGAGAACTAAAGTGCAATGACAGAAAATGCAGATTCCCAGTTCTGTCAATAACTAGCTGTGTGATGGTAAGCAAGACTTAGCCTCTCTGAACCTCATATACATCATCATAAGAGTGGGGACATTAACAATGCCCACCTCACAGGACTATGTAAGGGCTGAAAGCACAGAACAGACGCAGTTCCCCTACCCAACCCCCACAAACTGGCCCAGGCCCGCACCTGCGCAGTCGCTGAATCTTGTCCCGATAGCGGTCGTAGAAGGGGTTGGCTTCGAGCTCTGCCGCTACCCCGTTGCCGTCGGCGCCCCCCGCAGGCCCGCCCGAGCCCCGGCGCACCGAGAACACGCGCAACTGAACGGGTGAAACAAGCCCCAGGCCCAAGGCGCGGCTGCGCACGGTGCACAGACCCCGATAGAGGCCGGCCACCTGCAGGACAGCTGGACCCGCACCCCCCGCCGCCGCCGTCAAAGCCGCCATGACGGCCCCCTCCTCTTCCTCCAGCGCGCCGGCTTCAGCCCGCGGTCCGCGCGCTCGCTCCATCGGCCTCCGGGTCCGCTGCGCCCGCGCTGCAGAACCGAGGTTCCGCGCACCTAACGTTCCGCGCGGGGAATGGTGAGGTGGGCTACGTAGCGGAGGAGGGGGCCCGTCGCTACGGCTTCCGCCTTGTGCTCGCGGCACCCGGTGTGTCCCACGACCCGTCTCCACCCCGGGAGCCTGCCTGAATTCACTCCTTCCGCTGGGGACCAGCAGCCTCTGCGCGCCAACGCTCCTCTTGAAAGCCTCCGAGCTTGTTTCGTTTAAATTGTCTTGGCTGTCACTGTAGTAGCCGCCCATCAACACAAGGTCGTTTTATCAACTATTATCACAGTAGCAATTTCTCTTTACTGAACATTTCTATGCGCAAGACATGATCTGCTTCGTTATCTTGTGAGACGGGTATTATCCTTAACAGAGAAAAAAACTCAATCGGAGAATTAAGTGGGTAGTCCAAGTTCTTGCCAAACGCTTAACTCTTTTAGGATGCGAGTACTTTCCTAAACATTGTCTCTCTCAGTTCCCTGACATCCACCTTGAGTTTTAGCCAAACTGAACTCTCCTCTTCTAAACGTTAACTGCCAGTGAGTGGACTCATCATGACTCCACGAACAACAACAGGATGGGACCATTGTGATCCATAAGTTTTTCATTTGCTAATTTTCTAAAGTAGACTGCCAGGTCCTTCTTGCTAATTTTTCTAGTTTGGAAACTCTATTGAAATGTGTTCAGCACCATAGCAACATGGAAGCTTCTACTGTCAGACAGGTGATGACTGCATTGGCTGGAAATTGAATCTGGGTCTTCCACATGGGTCTTTGGACTCCTGGTGTGGTGCAGTACTGGTCTGCGAACCAGTTCTGAACTGGTGCTGTTCAAACCCACCAGTTGCCCCTCGGAAACCCTATACAGGGTGGCTATGAGTCAGAATCAACTCGACAGCACTTACCAACATTGTTGTTAAGTGCCATCAAGTCATTCTGACTCATAGTTATCCAGTATAGGATTTCTGAGGTAGAGTGACTGGTGGGCTCAATCCGTGTACCTTGTGGTTTGCAGTCTAGTGCTTATCATATGGAGTCACCGCACTCCCTCAATGTCTCACATGGAAGGCTAGAATTCTACAACTGAACTACCACTGCTCTTCTCCTCTCTAAGACACTAGGATTTGTCTCCGAGTAGCCTTTATTCCGACTGCTGATCCCTGGAATGCTTCTCTTCCTGTCAACCCAAATGCCACCAGTTTTCTTCACCCTATAAATCAGGTGTGCATCAAAAGAAGATGGAAGGAACAAACAGTCACTGTACCAAAAAGAAATGGTCAGTCTTCAACCGTTTGAAGAGGTAGCATATGATCGAGAGCCAATGATAAATGTTAAAGGGAGAAGTCCAAGGTGCATTAATGGTATTGGCAAAGAACAAGGCTCTAGGAATTGATGGAATACAAACTGGAATCTTTCAACAAACTGATGCAGCATTGAAGGCACTCACTCATCTATGCCAAGAAATTTGGAAGACAGGTACATGGCCAACTGACGAAGAAATCCATATTTGAGCACATTCCACACATTCCATAGAGAGGTGAACCAGTGGAATGCAGAAATCATCTGACAATATCATCAATATCACGTGAAAGTAAAATTTTGATGTAGTTTAAAAATGGCTGCAACAGTATCCTGACAGGGAACTGCCAGAGGTTCAAGCCGAATTCAGATGAAAACACTGATTGAGATATATCATTGCTGACATCAGATGGGTCTTGGCTAAAGCAGAGACTATCAGAAAGATATCTGCCTATGCCTTATTGACTACACAAAGGCTTATGACTGTGTGGATCATGAGAAGCTATGGACAGTGTTGTGGAGAATGAGTATTCCAGAATACTTAATTGTACTCATGAGGAACCTGTACATAGAGGAAGAGGCAGTCATTCTACCAGAACAAGAGGATACTGAATGGTTTAAAATCAGGAAAGATATGAACCAGGGTTGTATTCTTTCACCATACTTAATTCAGTCTGTATGCTGAGTAAATAATCTGAGAAACTGGATTATATGAAGAAGAACCT